ACAGTGTGTGCGAGCGCGCAGGGCCTGTGCCTGTATGAGTAGTAGTGTGTGTGTGTGTGTGTGTGTGTGTGTGTGTGTGTGTGTGTGTGTGTGTGTGTGTGTGTGTGTGTGTGTGTGTTTGTCTCTCTGTGAGTGAGTGTGTGTGTGCACACAATGTCACTGGGCTGTGTAATTGAAATGGAAATGAGCCAATCAGCGACTGCAGTGGTGTGCCACCTTACCCTGCATTCACTTCACTGTTCCAGCTCTCCCAAACTCACTCTCTCCGTTTGCGACTCTGTGTTTGCGTGAGCATGTGTCTCTATGTATCTATGTGTATGTGTGTGTGTGTTTGTGCTGACAATTCTTGGCCCTTCAGTTTCAGCCCTGAGGGTCTGAGGAGGTGGTGTGAAAATGTAATCAGTTGGTAATAAAGATTATCTCTTGCTCTCTCACTGACTAATACACTAAAACATACACACATACACATGCACCCACGCTCTGTGTCCAGCTGATTTCCCTGGCTTTGTGTTGTGACCCACAGCTCACTGGGACAGCTGTGGAATAACAAAGACATGTAATTATCACCATCTGACAATTAGCCTACCATCCAACTTTGCTCCTTAATTACCTATTTTACTGCTACAAGGCCTCCGCTGCCACTCTATGCTGCCACCGCTGCTACTCTTTTCTCACAAGAATGGAAAAGATTGTCTCTCATGATGTTGCCATTAGTGTGTCGTAAAATAGGGAGTGATTGTGGTGGTTGGGTGCTGCGTGTGCGTGTGTGTGGCACTGGGAGAGCAAGTGAGGGCCACTCGGCGCCAACTCCATCTGGACAATTTCTTCTGTGATTTGTACCAGCTTTGAGCTCTCAAAGAAACATTAATAGAAATAAACACGTAGGAGATCACAGTAAGGATTCTGGAGTGTACCAGTGAAGTGATTGGACTTTTTGGTGTTTAATTATAACGCATATTTATTTATACATTGCATATTGTTCAATTGAATTAGCATGTATGTCATTTCCTAAATTATTAAATTATTTTCCCTCTGATTTGACATGTTTTGTAAAAACTTAAATTTAGAAACAGCCGTAAACAATGTTACATAACATTTATACAAGGTCCAACCCATAGAGCAGCAAAGACACCTCTGATTGGCTAGATGGGGAATCTCAACAGTCATTTTATTGGTATTTATTTATTTATTATTTATATCTAAGTTTAATTTAACATTTACAGACAGAGTAAGGAAATACCATTTCTAATTGGCCAATTTAATAATATTTTAATGCATTATTCAAATATAAGTTTAATTATATTATATTATAACATAATATATTATAACATAATATGCATTTTAAAATTCACCAATTTATCCTTTATGCTGAGAAAATTTTAATTATTCTTGTAGCACACTCCAGAAACTCTATCGCTGACACACGCACACACAAAATAGCCAATTTTGATGCAGCTTTAATTTACATTTTCTTTTTTTCCCGCTGGATTAGTTTCTCCTGCAGTATCTCTGCAATTACTCTCTTCTATTGATCCCTCTGTTACTGTACCATCTCTCTTGCCTATATTTCACTCTTTGGGATTCTAACAGACCACATCCTTGATTTACGTCCCATTGGTGCAACCTCTTGTGTGTCCTTTGCAGAGGCTGAACAACGCAGCGGTTTCCCCCCTTTCGACTCAAAATAGGGGGCTGTTCATAGAACAGCAGCAGCCAATTAAAGCTGCCATTGCTATAAACAAGACACGGGCCACATCTAAAACTACCACATTAGTCTCTCGATAACAGGGGTTTTATAAGGACAATAAACACAGCTTTCTACAAAATACAATAAGTTTTCCAGGGACATCATGATGATAATCCTGCACTGAATAGACTTTGAGAAACATTTATAGCATTGGCTGCACACACAGTCATGTCATGCACATGCAGTTTTAGTTGAATCTCCTTTAATGATAAATGCATGGTTGAATGACTCCTGCAAAGACTTGAATTCACTGGGAGCCTAGCAATACTATCTGCAATATTCAGTCTTGCTGCCTCTCTTTTTTTTTTGTATTACCTCACCCTCTTTTGGAACCTTTCTCTCTTTTCTCTCTCCCACCCTGTCTGTTTCTCACCCTCACTCTCTTTCTCACTCTGTGCCATTAGCAGCTTCTGGCTGTTTCACTGCTGTTCCTTTGCCAATGTGCCAGGGAGCTCGCTGAACTGATAACACAAACCTAATGTACGTGCGTAGGTGTGTATGTGTGGAGGTGTGCAATGGGTGTGTGTTTCTTGCATATGTGTGTGTGTGTGTGTGTGTGTGTGTGTGTGTGTGTGTGTGTGTGTGTGTGTGTGTGTGTGTGTGTGTGTGTTACATGTTACAAATGCCTATCCTGTCCCTTTTTATGTGCTCACTCACCCAAATATCCCCTGCTTCATTTGCAGTCAGGTCCACGAGCCACTATTCTGACTGCTGAGGCAGGGAGAGAAGGGCAGCTGAAACATCACACACAGACACACACACACACACACACACACACACACACACACACACACACACACACACACACACACAGTGCACATACAGTACACACACACAAGCTGGGGTAAGCGGATGGGAGGATGTGACCATTAAGTCAGTGACATTTTAAAGCAGTGAGAGAGATGCATGGCTCTTCCTGGACCTCCACAGACATGTTTTAAATGAGATGTTACAGATGAGCTACTCCATGCCTTGGTTGTAAACACCCTCACTTTGGTATTTACCCTACACGGGTAAACACAGAAAAGCAACATTTCATGCTAGCTCATGCTCACATACACACACACGCACATAAATAAATACACAGAGCAGAGAACCAGCAGACACACATGATCACATTAATGAGAAATGGCTGCGGTTCGATTTGTCGCTTGATTGTTACATTAATCATTCGATTACACCAACATAAATTAAGTGACAAGTGAAGGCGCCAAAGCCAGATTTTGCTCAAATTGCTATTTGATCTTCAAAAACAAGTGGTCTGGTTTGCATTTTGATTGTAATTCTGTGTAGCTTGTCTAGACATACTGCAGATTGAAGTAAGCGCAGCCAAGCAGGATAAGCCTTTTCAGTGCATATACGGTGATTTGATCTTAGAAAAATCCATAAACGCAAAACATGACGTTGAAATAACGAGCAGAGTTGTAGTTTTCAATAGAGAAAACAAGAGAGCAGCAGGGAAAAGGAGGATGAGGAAGAGGCAGAAGAAAGTACTGACATTTTATACCATTATGCAGCATAGTATTTCCATCTCTATCTAAGATGTTTGTGATTTAGTGCAAATCAATAAAATAAAACATTTTTTGGGGGTATATTTATGATTTTTCCAGGCAAACTGAAAGAATTGTTTAAGAAAACAGCTCTTGCTTTTTTAAGAATCATATTTGTCTCAGAGGTTGCCCTCTATAATTAGACCCTCGATTCTAAATAGGAAAAACTCCCAAAGAATAGTTAATGGTTAAATAAACTATACTAAATAAGAAAAACCAATGGAGGAGGGAGCCCTCTTCCAGGATGATAACAAAATTATAGAGTCTAAACATATAAAGAATATAGATCCCGGAGGATGTCAATCAAACAAATAGTACCTGAGCCACACAACCTCCTGTCCGTCAAGGAAAAATGACAGACTGCACAAACAGACACGACTGCATGGCGAGAGAAAGAGGTCACCATGTTGCGGCTGTACTGCTTCAGTATGTTAATCCTGAGGCTCCAGAGTCCTCAGGATAAAAAAGTTTTAGCCTGTTATACGCTCTGCCCCTTGTGCATTCTGGGGCTTGAGGAATCCTTCTTAAAGACAGCGGTGGCGCTTTTCAATTAAAAGTTTTGTCAAAACTCTTGTCAGGTTGTGCTCTTACAACATTAACGACTGGGTCTCAATTATAAACTTGCACCACCTGGCTTATGGGTGAAATGAGTCAGTGGCACCAGCTGTGTACGTGTATGTGTATGGGTATCTGTGTGTGTGTGTGTGTGTGTGTGTGTGTGTGTGTGTGTGTGTGTGTCTACTTGGTGCAATTTTGTGGTTCTCATAGTTACTCAGAGTGCTTCAAGTGTGTGCTAAATTGAGGGCCTCCCCAGCATGTTTACAGGTGGTCAGTGTTTTCCCCCTGTGACACCAAGGTTAGGATCATACCATCCTAGACCCGGAAAGAAACTCACAACACAGGAATTGCTCTCTAATTTTGCGAAAATTCCACAGGTGAGAGACATATTTGTGGGCAACAGAAGAGGAAATTGTGTATTGTGTGTATGTTTGTGTGTAGATGCGAGCTTGTGACAGTGTATGGCCTTTTGATGAATCTGTCTGTATGTATTGAAGCCCTCTGACCCTGTGTGGCCTGTTCTAGATCATTGCAGTTGTAAAGATGCCTCACCGCACAGCCCTCAGAGACAGCCAGGCTCTGTATTTTTCCTATCATGACATTTACTGTCTGGATCCATCCTGTATCTATGATTATTTCTACTTTGCACTCAGCCTGAGGTTATCTGTCTTTATGTTGTGTTTGTAAAAGAAAGTGTGTTTTTTTTCTCTCTCTTAAGAAACCTATAATTGTTTTTTGTAAGCATAATTTCTCAGCCTTGGATACTTCAGTTTGCTATCCAGATGTGTGTATGTGTGAGTAAATATCTTTTGCAATGATAGATTTATAGATAAGCCAACCCACCCAAATTTATTGAAGCCAGAAGATGAGAGTGCTGGCGCTTGTAAATTTCCACACAACACTGAAAGAGTGCAGAGAGATCAAACCGGCATTCTCCGTATATATGTGCTGAATTCAAACAAACTTTTATGCATAATAACTGAAGCTCTATTTATGCATCAACACAGATGCATTACGATTTTAGGATGTTTTTAGAAGTGTGTGTACATTATTAAAAATCAGGTGGTCTGTAATTATACTTACTTTGTGTAAATATCAAAAAGTTAACCTTTTCCCATCTCTGCTCTTTTCTGTTTTGCAAACAGGTTCCATCGTGGGGACTACCACATTGACGTGTGCATAAACGACTACCTGGATGTCTATTGCCCTCACTATGAAGACACGGTGCTCGAGGAGCGGACGGAGCGCTATGTCCTCTATATGGTTAACTACGATGGCTACAGCACGTGCGACCACACCGCCAAGGGCTTCAAGCGCTGGGAATGCAACAGGCCGCACTCCCCGAACGGGCCACTCAAGTTTTCAGAGAAGTTTCAGCTCTTCACTCCCTTCTCCTTGGGCTTCGAGTTCAGACCAGGCAGAGAATACTACTACATCTGTGAGTTTTTACAGTTCTGCACACAGCATACATACAGGTGGATGAAAAATGTAAAGTTAAAAAAAACCCCAACATGAAGTGTTTTAGTAAGGTGTTGGGTAACCAGGAGCAGACAGAACAGTTTCTCTACTGGAGGGATGGAGCACCATTCTTAGGCATAATTCCTCATTTGGTGTTTCAAAGACAAACGCAACAGCCTGAAATTGAATAGAATATGACTCACTCACATCAGTTTTATACTCCAATTCAGATGCAAAAATGTTTCATAATAGGATAGAGGTTACACACAGAATAGCGCTGTATTGATTTGCAGTGACCCTTCCCTTTAAGGAGACAAGTGGACCCTCGTCATATTTCTCCTCTCGTTTCTTTTGGCTTTTTCTTTAACTCATCACACTCATCATTGTAAATATAACAGGAGTAACATATAACGAAGTCTGCAGTGATAGCAATGAGACAATTGCAGCTAATTAATGATATTATTAATTCATTTGAATATTATTTTCATATCAATATTAGTAGTATTATTATGTTGTGTGATATCCCTCCAAAATCTGCACAAAATCCCACACGCATTCACAGAAAAATGCCAAACAACCTAACCTGAAATGAATTACAGACCCAGACAGCCCTTTCCCTTACCTAATGTTTTTCTTTTAATACAGCAGAGCAAGAGACACACACACACACACACACACACACACACACACACACACACACACACACACACACACACACACACACACACACACACACACACACACACACACACACACACACACACACACAATCCCTCACCCATGTTTTCATAACTTCAGCACAGAGCTTTAAGAGTGGCATTACAGTGATCCGAGCAGACACTTTCATGCTCTGCTTTCAGCCAAGCTTTTCACACTGCTCTCATCACTCGTGGAAAACTCTTCCCTAAAATGGCAATGGAATTCAAGGGGGAGTTAAATTGAGACAGTTTGAAAGTTACAGCTCACAACCCCTGCTGCACAACACTGTATCCTTCAAAAAGGAGTGCCCTCCTCTCTGCATTATGTTATGCTCCCATTCAGCTCGCGTTAGTTGTTGTCTGCGTCTTGGCATAGGAACTGAGTTCATCTGAAGTTGAAGCCCCTGGGAAATTAGGTTTTATCAAAGCAAGGTGATAGAGTGGAATTGAGTTGCGTTTGTCCTCCCACTACAGACTATTCCGTGCAGGGGAGACGGAGGAGTCACTGTCAATAGGCACAGTCACCGCCGCTTGCTCCAAACACATTTGTCACAGGGATAGGCTGATATTACAAGGAAGCACAGTTATGTTCTCAAATGGGTGGCATTAAGGCAATATCATGCAGTGTAATGCATTATTGCTTCAGCTGTTGAAGGAAAAGTTGAAAGATTTGTGCACTTTGTGGGCTAATAAACATGTATAAATTCCTTCTCAGCGAGGGGGTGTCCGTTTTGACAGTTAACACCCTCCCGCTAAATACTGCTGGTAATACTATACTTGTATCTGTTTATCTGTACAATTTGGCCTGTGGTGTTAATGCAGCTCAAGGTGACTGTCAAACCCGTGCGTCTTTGTGTTTTCTCATTCTCTCTGAGACGGCGTTTAAAGAGTCCGCAGCGTAGCTGAGGTGAGCTCTACACACTGAGATCTGTTTTGTAAATTGGCACCTTTTTATGATGCTGTTAACCTGACAGCCAGCAAAGACTTCTGTCCGTTATTCATTTCACGTGTTTTGCACTTCCTCTCCCTGCTCTGTAACACATTAGAGTTAGAGACTGGATTTAAAAAAAAAAAAAGGGGAAAAAAGCGCCTTCCTAATGTTTGCCGTTGTTTCCGTGGTGAATAGGTGTTTTCTCTCAAGCTTGTCCACAAAACAAATCCTTTCCAGAGGGCTTTCAACAACCAGGTGTTTGCCCATTTGTCTGGTAAAAGTAACCAGATTTTCCTTTGCTTTTATAGCCAATTTGCATTGACACTCATACTAAATGAGACGAGGGAAAAATGGAATTCTCCGAAGTTGGGAGCGTAGATGGGGGTTAGCGAAGGGTTATACAATTCATCTACTCCCTCAAGTCTCCATTTCTAACTTTTTTTTTTCCATTTCTGTTGAGAGATGCTTGTCCTAAGGGCTGGATTAAATTACACTGCGACCGACAGGGCTTCCATGGAACACATCCATTCTGCTGTAGCACGCCATATTGGTTTAGTTGCCCGAGGCTTCATTGGCTATTGAATGATTCTAGCGTATAGCCTCTCTGGCTACTGTGGCGGATATTAAAGTCATCTACCATGAAGTCATCTGACATGTGATTTCCCACTGCCATTGTGTCCGGCCTGAATGTCCATAAGTAGCAGAGGAGATGGTTGTTGATGGATTGGACAGAATTCATCCAGTGGACAGAATGTGGGGCTAGAGGAGGAAGATTGAGAGAGGTGGAGAGTTAGTTACATTACTACACCTGCCAATTCATCTGCAACATCTGTTTCAATCGCTACCATCATCATCATCACCATCATCATCATCACCACCACCACCACCATGAGGGAGTCTTCCTCACCCGCTAGCAGCAGCAGGTTGCATTGGATTACATCATTTTTATTCTCCTTTAATCTTGAGAATTTAGTGATAAATACAACTTTCTGATTGAGGAATACATAAACAGGCTGCAAAATTAAATCACAACAGGGAATTTTTCTAAAGAGTATAACCTAATAAATGTAATTTTCTCAGGGATTACATTTTGGCTTAATATACTAATATTAAAAATATTCAGGATTTAAGACAGAAAAAATTGTCTCACACTTGATTATATCTAATCCTTTATCTCTAATCTTTTTAAAAGAGCAAAACTAAATGCCACAGTACACCAGGAGCAGGTCTGTTTGGCACCAATTGCAACAACATATTGAAATTTGAGTTTTATTTCCCTTGTGTACTGTATGGTTACATGCACACATCATTTGGTTAACAACACCAATAGGTCCAACTGTTGGTCAAGTTTTGCCCGTAGTCTGTTGTCTCACAATAACCCATTCAAATATTCATTTAAATTGCGAAAATGTTAAAAAAAATTCATTTATCGGGTTATTCAGTGTCAACAAAACATTTTGTAACATCATACATAATCTAATAGAAATAGAGCAAAATGGCCATCCCACTTGAGTTTTTCCACTACCTGTTGAATCCCAATATTCACTCTCATTTGGCATTGGTTTGGTCTGTCAGCTATGTGGTGCAACTTCCAATGAGCACACGCTAAAATACATAAAAACTAAGATATAAATAAAACATGATATCTGAAGATACCCTAAAGCAGTAGAGTTGTGACAGGCTTAACAAGTATTTGTCCTAGTGAAGTGCTCTTGAGCTAGATGATGAATCTTTCAGAATTATTAGGATAAATGTGCCTGTCACTGTTTTCAGATGAGTTGAGTAATAGTCAGATAACGTCCAGTGTGCAGACAAATATTCTCTCAGTGTTACAGATACTGGGTAACCATGGTCAGAGTTTACAATATACAGCCAGAGCCAAGATAGAGAACAGTGTCTGTGTCCAGGAACAATACGACTGACAGGATTGCATGCATGTTATTTCTGTAGCAAAGATGGTGTTTACCTTTAGTGCAGCCTTTTTCTCTTGGTCTGCCATACTGGACTCAAATTCTTCTTGCTGGAACATTTTCAATGGTATAGCGCCTGCAGTATGTCAGTGTCTGATAACACTATACTTGCTTAATGAAGTGAAGGCATTGCTTAGCTCTTTTTAACGATAATCATAATGTTATGTGCCCAGGTTGATTTCTGAGATGTGGATGCCTATTGAGCTATGAAAAAAGATATTATGATAACAGTTTGCCAGCTACCTTGTGATGCTATCCAGTCTCATTATTGTTGCCAATAAGAATAAAGACTGTTGTCAAATAAGAAGATATCAGTGTGTACTGCTGTGCATTCGTGAGTAAACATTGATTAAACTCTTAGCTCTTGGTTCAGGCTGTATATTTTAAGGACACTATTAAGTGTTTGTTGTTCCAACATTTTGTGGTTCATTTTTGACTTTGAAAGTTGGCTTTTTTCTGCATGTAGTCCTGCCACTACATGGATACACCACATGATTGTGAACATGGCTGTAAGTAAAACAGGAGAGTCAGGATAATGTTCATGATGTCTTCCACCTGAAATCATCATCACTTGACCTAAGACTTGAACTTGTGAGGTGAGGCTTATAGAAATTAAAATATCACTTTTGAATTAATAGAAATGAGACTTCTTTTAGTTTAAAACTATGTCCCCAAAGTCCTATATGGCCTGCTCTGGTGCACAACCTGATTTCACCTCTGTCATGGGGATCATTAAATGTTCATCTTATCTCCTACTGTGCACAGAATTGTCTTAAGTACCCAAGGCCAAATTTCTGGATATTAAATAATATAAATGAATAATGGATCTCAAACAGTTTAAAATTTTTATTAACTTATTTTTTATTAAAATGAGGTCTGTAAGTACAATTTTAAAATGAATTTGTGTATCAGTGTAGAAATTACACCCCAAACAATGCCTACAAATAGCGTCAACACAGCAAAGACATTTCTACTGTATAAGATATGATGACATTTGCAGCTCAGCACAAACTCAGTGGTCAGACTTTGCCCTTGTAGCCCATTTGCTTACATTGTGTGAATGCGTAGTGTAGCGTAGCTAACAGAGAAAATCTTATGCATCATTACCCGCTGAAGCTGGCTATACTGCACACCTGCACTAAACAGAAATGTTAATGTGCCCTGAGGCAGAGGTCACTATCCATGAGGCGGAGGTTAGCAATAGTTAACTGTGAATGGGCTCATGTACTTCATAGACATAACAGTATATCATGTAGGAGAATTCATGAATGCATTATTACTTTGGTTTTATAGCACGGCCGCAGAAGTACTCTGTGAAGATAGAATATTTATTTATAATCAATATTTAACTGATTTTACTCGAGCATTCATAGAGTAACCA